AAGGTGAGGGGTACAGACAGGTACATACATATGTATGCATATCCGACAACAAGCTTAATAGATCTTTACACATACATATGTATGTACATACATATAACAGAATGCAATTCATGCCAGACACGAAATACAGTAACATCACACAAGCTGTAAAGTCGCTGTTGCTTGCCGACAGCGCAACAGTGCACTGTTAAGTGATGGTAGAGGAGAGTGAAATTGAAAGTTAAATGCCGGCATTAATCACATGGTCATTATAGCAATCGTACTATGGGCCTCAACTTCTTATACTCTCGTTCACTTTCCCCTTAAAATCTGCGAATGCTGATGCTGATATATGCATGTATTTTATAAATCGCATTTGCCCGAAACAAGAAGAAAGTCGTACAGCACATATGTTAATTTAAATGTTATATTTTTGGGTTTTTATGTGTATTTATACACCCTGAATCCAGTTATCCTCTCTCTGTCGTTTGACGCTCCTTGCTTTGCCGCAACATGGTTCTCTTGCGCCCTCTCTCACAATGTACTTTGCTCTTTGGTTATTTCTTTTTGTTTGTGACATAAAAACAGGTTTTGTTAATTGATTGAAATGATATTTGTTGGCCATTCTTAAAGATTTCGTCACATCTTCAGATTGCATAATAATAATACGCAAATTTTGTGGTTGATTTTGATATCGTGTACGTGAGTTTTCATGATTTTTATTTGTATGTTTAGCAAGAAGCTTGGCAGGCGCGCGATGGGTCAAAGAACTTATAAAAATGTTTAAGGCCAGTTCTGAATTTTGCACAATAAAAAAAAAATGGAATCAATTCTGTTTCATTTTCACTCTCGCTTTGGTCTTTTTATTACACAAAATTTGACCACGTTTCTGTATTGGCTGATCGTTTAAGTTACGGCTTAGCCGGCATCGTCTAATCGATTGAATTAATTACAAAAATATGCAAATGAATTTACGTATGACTTTCGGACATTCTTTTTGCGTCTGTCTCGTTATATGTTTTCGCTTATTTATATTTTTCGACTGCTTTTTGCTTTGTCTTCGTTTTCCATTGCCCGTCGCTTTTTTGACGTTTCGGGAGCCTGCGCATTGGGAAGCTGGAGAACAAAGCTGGCGGGAGAGAGAGAGAGAGAGTGACAATCAGCTGTTGCTTTAAATGAACTTTGGTGGTTGTTTAGCCAAAGAGTGCATAAAGAAAGAAGCAAAGAAGAAACATATGTAGGGAGCCAACAGATATACATACATATAACAGAAAACGTAAAGAGCATAACATCACAACAACAGTAAACGTTGTTAGATTTTGAATTTAGTTATATTTCTGTGAAAATGAAATCATTACAAATTACATTAAATTTTCCTTATTATTATATTTGTTGGAAAATATAAACTCTATTTGTAGAAAATATATAAAAGAACAAATGGAGAAAGAGAGCTGCCTTCAAAGCCAAAACAAAATAATAATGGGAAGCATTATTAGTTATAAGTACAAAAAAAACCCAAACTCCAAATGACTGTTCAACAATAAAACCACAATTCATCGTTGGACAATTTCCGCAATAATTATGGCCAAGAAAAAAATAACAATATTCTACGAGTAGTATTTGTTCTACGCAATCAAAATCGGGCAGGTAGCAGCGGCACATGTCAAAAGTTGAAAATAAAATAGTTATTTCCTTTTTCGAAAATTTAACCTCGTGCCCTGTTGACCGAACGCCGAAAATATGCTGAACTCTGTCTAATCCATAAACGAGGAGATTGGCCAAGACAATCGCAAATGAATCAACGGGTAGCCTTCAGCCTTCGCTGAAAAACCCGTTAGAACCAGCAGACCAGCAGAAACGTAACTCAGTTGGAAGACGGCCAAGTCGCTTAGCGCCGCACCGAGTCGATCCGATACAAGCATTAACCTATTTTACTTCCTTACCTCATAGATCTCTTGAGAGAGCCCATAGAATTCTCGTTTCGATCTACCATCTAACTTCCGGCCAGAGGTCCGAGTAACGAACGTGTTTTCAACGTTTTTTTTTCTTACTGTGACTTGTCTATGGATTTATATAGTATATTTCTTTCATTTTGGTTTCCTAAAGTTTAATTTTCTGTGCTGATGATGGCCCATTTGATTAGAACTGCCTGGGCACATACACGGGTTATTAATTATGATTTATTTTGGCAATAATAAGGAGCACGATAATTATTGGCAAATCTTCTAACACCCTCAAGGTCGAGGCTTTTGGCTACCGTAAACATTTGCCAGACTCTTAGAAATCTCCATTTGGCGACGTGCTAATTGGAACTTACTTGATGTGCGTTTTTCTACTTTGCGTTCTGTTTGATGTTTTTCTTGGTTATTTGAAGATTTGAAATGCTTGAGGGGATTCTCTTTGGGCAGAACATATTTTTGCTTGGATGGTATTGCGTTGTGGATTGGAGTACTGTCTGGTTGCATTCGTTTGGGTCTTTTTACCTTTAGGAAGTTATAAAAGGAAGTGTATCCTCTTTGTGATATGAAGGAGGAAATTTGGTTTGAATTTGGGTCTTCAAGGTGGCTAGATCCTATAATAATATAAAATTGATTGTTGGAAACTTAGGATTCCAGTATAGAGTAGACTTAAAGAAGTCCAGTGTTATTCATCTTCAAACAAACTTTAAAGAACATTTCTAACGAATGCGTAAACTCAAATATAAACTGCATATAGTAGCACTCATATGTACGCATGTATTACATTTTTGCAATTCTAATAATATTCTTTCAATCTTAAATTTATGTTAATTCTAGACACTGTCTAGTCTTTTTAGACTGTCTAGTCACCATTAGAACCATATAAATGGTATGGTAGAAAACTGGATTGAATAATTTGAATTCCACTTTGCATTGGGGAAGCTTTAGTCTGTCTGGAAATTCAGTTTATGTAAATTGAAAACACCCTAAAAATGATGGCAATCCCATTTTGAGGAGTGCTTTTGTTATTCCTAGATCAAAGATCCTAGATAATGGCAAAGCCAAACCAAAAAGCACAACTCAACTCAACTCAACTCAAAAAACTAGTGGTTGGTTTTCATAAATCTTCTGTGGAACTTGACCAACAACTTCCGATTTGATTGGGCCACATTCCCAAAGCCTCTAAACAAAAAACACCTCTGATAATGAAGAAAACAAATATGTGTGATGCTGGCATGACATTGAATTTTGATTATATTGTTTCTACCTTTGATGTCAATTAACATAAACGCTCTAAAGTCTTATGGGCAAACATTTGTCATGCCCACAGACAGTTGTAAAAAGTGTAAGAAATGTTGTAAGGAAACTCATCTTTGGGGTTTGGACAACAGAGGTGTTTATTTCTTGGTTAAATAAATCACAGTTAAATCAGGGCACCAACCCTCACCCTTATTGCTAGCTTTAAATATCTACGAATTTCACGCAAAAATATTATTTTTAGACACGACAAGTTAGCCTTTGTGAGACCCTCAATCGCCAAATGTATTTTTAATTGAATTACTGAACAAATCATAAGTAAAAAGGCCAAACAACTGACAAAATTATCCCACACCAGACCAGACGACTGAAAGAGTGCCACCTAAAGTTGTGCGGAAGGTCGGTTGGACTTTTGGAGTCATTGATTTGATGAGTGTTGACGGCAGTCAAAAAGTAGCACAGCCTCTTAAAAAACACAGCTACCCCATCGATGCCTACTCAAATCCAAGTCCAGAGACACTCAACTGTAGTGGACGCGTTCAAATTAAATGGTTTGTTATAAATTTCGATAGTGTTTGGGTTTTACGAGTGTGTCTGGCTATGGCGATTGTTTCCTTTTGAGTACTTCTGAAACTCGTTTCGTTCTAGATAAATGGAGACTGGTTTACCCTTTCACTAGAAATAGCAGTAGAACACTCTCGATGCGATGCGTTTCGATTTCATTTGATTCTTTGCTTTATCTTCTAGTATATGTTTATCCCCTTGATTACCACAAGGTTTCTGCTTCGGCCTGGTTGCCTTCTTGGCTTGGGTCGTATTGTTGTATGAACATCATTTGTTTGTTTGTTTTCAAATATTAGCACAGCTCGTGGGGGTGTCATTTGCACACAGCGTCGCTAAGTCAAGGTCGATTTGCCAGACAAATGCCAGATTTATTATACTTGAAGATATTCTTTAGCTTTTATTGGCCAGAGCAAACAGAATTCCAATCATACCGGAGAGACTTTAAGACGTGGGTAATGAAAACTTTTTGGCTACACATGTTTATGTGTGTAAACATAAAAATAAATAATTTCGAAGCCCTTCGTAGCTTAAGACTTTACTTGTTTTTTTTTAATATTTATTTATTTGTGTTTAAACACAATTTGGAAGCTTTGGAAACAAGCTCTTTGGTGGAAATGAAACCAGAGTTTCTCGTTTCTTTAAACAGAACCAATTTAATATTTATGAGAATTCTAAAAGGAATTTGATACCATAAAGTGGTGCACTTATCTGATTTAAAGCATGCTTTTATTCGAATTATATGAAATTTAATTTCAAATTGGTAATACCTTCTTTTTTTATTTATTCATTAAATTATTTATGGATATATTTCATTTAATTAGTTAACTTTTAACTCAAAGGAAATCTCATAAGGGCTTTCTTACAATGCAACGAAATTATCCTTCTCAAGGAAACACCCAAAAATAAACTGAGGGAAGTGCATAAAAAAAACCATTCATTAACTATGCAAAAAGATTGCACTTGGGCCAACACTTGAGGAGCATCAAAAGCAATGACCATACTTCTCCCCATAGAGAGGTTTCCTCTGCATCCGAGCGCAACCCCAAACCATGTGCAGTGTCCCCGACCATCAAAGAGCAAAAACCAAGGCGCAACCAACTGTAAACGTAAACAATCTTCAGTGCGCAGGACAGTTCTCAATGCGAATCCGAATCTGAGACAGCTGTGCATTGAATTGGGGGAAAAGCTTTCTGGGCCATGCCATGGGGGGAAAAGCTTCAAGTGAGCATTCAGTGGATTGCTGCCAATTTGGGCGAACGGTGGTTGCACGGTGATTGCTTGTTGCCCAGGTTACGTGTCAAGGAGCTAAAAACCGTCGGCCATGTTAGCCAGTAAAGTGGCTAATTAAAGGCCAATGCTCAAAGCCCTTCAAAATCAATTGTGAAAAGTCAAGTGTCAAGTGCCTAAACGAATCAAAGATCGGCTGGTTATAGCTCTAGCTTGATTCTAAAAATGCCCTCCACTATCACGAAAGTGCATCAGCAAATTACATTTTAAGTCTGGCCGATTGCCAACACAAAAAGCGGAAACCAACGGAGCAACACAACAGCCAGAACAAAACCACAACGACAATGTCGAGTGGCAGGTAGGATTCCCCACATATCCATATAGTATTTGTGCACGATATAGATAAAGCAGGGAGCATAGCCCATGGGCCTTTGTTCCATATCTGAATGGTATTATGACTTATCCACTGCCTGATATTTGTCGTGCAATCAATAAATTGATTTTTGATTGCCATGTGTGTGGGTTTTCCTTGGCGTTGTCTTTTGTTTTTCTTCTGTTTTTTGTTTTGTTTTGTGTGTTTCTGTTAGTGTGCTTACGGCGTCGCACTGGCTGGCAAAGGGTTGCGCCTATATCTAGGGCCACTCACGATGTTGCCTCGAGGCCATAACATCCCACAGTGCGCATACTTGATGTGGGCCAGATGGAAATTCAGAGATGGTTTTATAATTTATTAAAATATGTTTACTCATTTATGATTTCACTCTTGACCTTTTTTTCACGGGCAGAATTCTATTTTGAAGTTTGCTTTGCATTTTGTTGCCTTCTTTATTTAGAATTCAAGCGCATAAATATCAATTAAAATTTCATTTGTATTTGAAAACCGGTGTATGTTTGCTCACTATCTTAAGCATGACATTAGCAATCAGCCGAAAATATCCTAATCCATTAAAAATTCTAAAGAAACATACTGTATACGTAACTTTAAATACGTATGTATACAAAATCAGTTCAGATTATCATACACAGCACGTGTGCCGCTACTCCAAACGTTTCCATTACTTTCGGATCAATTTTGTTTGTTTTTTTTCTGTGGTTCGGTGATCATTTGGTTGGACAATAAGATTCATTACTGAAAATTAACTAATTTTTGGTCGAAATAATTTGTAGAATTTTATAATTCATTAAGAACCTAAGCTCATAAAACAAACACAATTACCATTTAATTTTGATTGCCACTTACAAACAGGTTTTTTTTTTTTTGGCAAATCACTTTAAAAATGACATAAACATTTACTCATATATTTACTTAAATATTTACTTATTGATTACTCATTTCACTTGAGTTTGCTCCATACAAAATTATAAAGCAAGCTTTGAAATCGCAAACCAAGCGTCAAAGTTCAGTTGATTAAGCAATGTGACATGACAGCACTGTCACCTTTGCCTGCACATGACTCTTGTGGTTGAGCAAACAGAAAGGAACACCCACACGAAGCCACAACCACGCAACCACAGAGACACACACACAATGCAAATATGTGCCTGGTTATTTTTTGGCGCCAAGCCGACAATTTTCATGCTGATGATGAAGGAAAATGAGGGAAAATGTGCACAAAATGAGCAGAAAGGGGAAGATGGGAGATGTGAGATGTGAGAAAAGGAAACTGGAAACTGTTTGCTCTTGGATATCCCTTGCTCCCTCAGCAGTCATGACTCATTGGCCTGCTGTCCCGGGCATATCCTGGCCATGGAAACTGATACTCCCTCAGAGACGGGGGCTCTCCTTTGCCAATTATGTGCTGATTGTAATTATATGTACATTTCGTGCATATTTTAAGCAGCCCGATTATCCTAATTACATGACTGGCTGCTAATAGGATACTTGGCTTCTGGTGGTGGGAAATGTGAGGCTTTCTTTAGCTAATGCTAGGAGAAGTTGGTGCAGTCTTCAATGGAAATAAAGGTTAAATGTTAGTTAGAGGCCCAAGAAATTGGTAGACTGTTTGGGGCTGTGTAGAAAAGGAGGAGTGAAGGAATATATTGTGTATTTAATGACAGTACTAAACATTTCATGCTATCCTACTTACTCTGTAATCCATTGGCACATTTTGCTCATGCTATTTCTAGTTTGGTTCTATATTTAGTCGCTGCTATACCGCAAGTAGAGCAAACGTATGCTAAAGTAAATAAATAAATAACTTAGACATGAAATCCCCTCTCTCTCTCTCTCTCAATGTGACTGATTGTTTGTCTGCCTTTCTTTTCTATCTATTCACCAATTCATGTAGCCGTCTGTCTGTCTTTCGGTCTTTGCATATGTGGGATTTCACGCAGTTGAATACGTGACCAACAAATGCTACAAAAAAGTGACTTGAACAAGTTTTTTATAGGGGAACCCCTAGCCATATACAGATTCGATTGCTATGACGAAATACACAAATCGTATTGCTGGATGTTACCTGTGTACATATGTACATGTTCAAATTCAATTAAGAATAAACTTTTCGGGAATTCAAGGGCCGAACTCGACTTACATTACTTTGGTGGGACTAAAATGAGAAATGGGAAAAACGTAGACATTTTATTTGCCTTTTGCCTTTTATCCTGGCAGCCTGCTGGATGTGCTCTGCAGTGGCAGTGGTGCCCGCCTGGCCCTGGGCACCTCCGTCATCTCCTATTTGATTGTCTACAATGAGGCCTCGGCACCGAGCATGCTCTTTGGTGTCCTGCTGGCGACACTCTATGGCAGCATGTCAGGTGAGAGACAAAACCGTTGTTGATGTAAAGATTTTATTGTATGACCATTTTTTCCACTCAAAGCGCGCTGTAAGACGAGTCTGCGAAGCCTACAAATGCCTTATGTTAGGGCCACCAACAAATTTGACTATGGCTGCCTTTTTCTGGCCATATGGCTGGATGCCCTGGCTGCCATGTGTGCCTGTGCGGCGCTGGCCAGGACACTGAGTGCCTGTCTGGATGCCATGACGGGAGGCTTGGCCAGGATACTCATTTTGGGCCGGAATGCACCCACGAACGAGCCCTGGCCGGATGTCTTGGGTGTCTCTGTCGTCTTTCTTGTCACTGGAATGTTCATGCTGGGTCTGGAGGTAAGTGCTCCACAGTCTACCCCTATATCATGCACTCACTGAATTACCATATCATTTTGCAGCACTCGAAAGCCTTCAGCCTCATCATGACACTCGGTATGTTTGGCTTGAATGCAATCCTCAGCGCCGTTGGCTGGTGGCGTGGCGATTTGTTGGCCTGGTCGACGGATAACTACTTCCAGCCTGATGGCATTAGCAGTGTAAGTGCTATACACCCCCCTCTGGCTCTGTCTCTGTGCTACTGGGTCAGTGCACTGTGTGTTGTTTCCTTTTGTTTTATCGATTTTTGGTGTCGTGACTGCTGGCAATAGCGTGACCGCAGCTGAAGCCACAGGATACGGGCTTTTGATTATGACACGTAGTGCCGCGTTCGGGTTTTTGTTTTTATCGCGCAAAAAGTCCAGTCAGACAGTTAGAAAAAAGGCTTTGCCAAAGGTGTAGGAACAATTGTTAAGGACTCTTGGGGGTGCAGCGAGTACTCGTTATTGGCTTATGGCAATCTTTGGCTTATTAATGGATATGCTAATCTTTTATTCTCACCTCTTTCTAGGTCTTTCTGGCCACTGCGCTGCTCAGCTATAGCTTTCCCAGCGACTGGCCGCAACAGCATCGAAGTGGACGGTATGCAGCCAGCTTGATCACATCTCTGGTCTGTGTATCCCTGCTCCTGACAGCCGTTTGTCTTTCGACTGTGGTGCACTACAAGTGAGTATATTCCACTTTTTTCTTAACCATTAACTAATCCTCTCTCTCTCTCTCTTCGTGTAGAACCCATGAGGAGTACGTGGCTGTGCCTCTGTTCAATGTCCTCGATGAGAGTGGCTTCCATAAGCTGGTGCCTGCCTCCGCCTGCATGTTGCTCCTCACCAGCTCGGCTGCCTTTCTGGAGATCTTCCCAGAGCTCTATGGCATTGTGGTGCGTCTGGCCACATCGGAGTGGCGCATACTCTCCAAGCAAATCAGCTACGAGAGCTCGGAGAGTGGCAATCCCGTGCTGGCTGTCTTTATTGCCGGCAGCCTGTGCGCCATGCTCGCCTTTGCCTGTCCCCTGCAGCATCTCAGCTACACTCTAGCCGCCAGTCACATTGGTGCTGGCTTCCTGCGTGCCTTCTATCTGCTATATACCCCATATCGACCGAAGTTCATGCAACCCAGCTGCGAGTCCTCGCTGTCCTACAGTCGCCTGTCCACGGCTCCCATTGCCAAGAGCAGCAGTTGCAGCAGTGCCGCCACCTCCAGCTCGAGTCGCCTCAAGCGTAGCCTCTGGAACATCAGTCTGACCAAGCACACGGGCCTAAAGAAGCCCAAGACGAAGCCAAGGAACAAGCAGGAGGTGGAGAAGGAGTGGCTGCTGCTAGGGGAACCAACATCGCCGTGTCCGCAGCGTGAGGGCAGGGATGTGGAGTCAACGATTCTGTCGGATGGAGAGCCACCGGTGAGTAGTCTTTGTAGTTTATCCGAAAGGAGTTTGGTCAGGAATAGTTAGAGCTCTATTAACTATTATTAACTAAAGTTTATCGTATATATTTTCTAATATTAACATTTGTTCTTCTCTTTTTCTAGCCATCGGACTTTGAGTATCCCGACAAGTTTGACAAAAGTGATTCGGATACCTCAACGGACATTGATGCCATTGTGGATGAATATCGGGAGAAGATTAAAGTAAAATCTATGCACAATCCCTTATGTTTGCTTTAGCTAACCGTTTGCATTGCCTTCCCTTTTCGTAGGTAACCACGGCAGGCCCCTTGGAGCGCAGCGTTCGTGTGCCCACTGTCAGCTCGTGGCGTGTGACTATCTTTGCTCTGGTGGTCATTGCCTTGGGCATTGCTCTGTGTGTGGCTGGACTCACGATGCACTGGGCACCGGCTAGCTTTACCGGTGCCATTGGTGTGTTCATTGTGACCATAATGATGGGCTTTATACCCAAGTACACGGGCAGTGTGATCAATGTGAGTCCCGTTCTGTGTGGCATGTCGCTGCTGCTGTGCGTTGTCCTGTTCAGCGGCTGTGCAGTGCACTCGTGGCCGGGTCTGATCATCTGGCTGCTGGCTGGACTCATAATGGTGGTGCGATGTGATAAAGTCTGCTGCAATTGCTTCGAGCACTCGTCCATGATGAATGCCCAGCTGATTCCCAGTGTTTCGGGCAAGACAATCGCATCGGGAGTAAAAAAAGCTTCATTAGCATCTGGTTCGGGTTTGAGTGGTGCGGGACCATCCACCAGCATTCGGATACCCAGGCCGCCCAAGACTGTGGGCGTGGTCAGTTTGCCGCAACGCATCAATGGCCATAGATGACAGTCGGAGTCCTCGGAGGAGGGCGAGGACTTGTTCCACGAGGACTTCAACGTGCGCGACTTCGATGAGGAGGATGGCAATGCTGGCGAGGATTGTTGGACTGATTAGCTTGCCCTGACGCCGCCTGCTTTAGATATCTACAATATAAAATGCTTTGAGGATCTCCGAGATGATCAATCAAGCTTCAAGCCATTATGCCTGACTTTTCTAGCTAGTTCAATTCAATGTCAAAATCCATTTATGTACAATTATGTATGTATTTATGTATGTCTTATGTATGTATCTCTAGTTAGGCAACCCTCTTTACAAATAGGCTACCAATAAAATGCAAATTTTCAAGATATATCATAGCTTGAGGATAACTTTATTCTTATAATGATAAACTAACAAAGAGAGACTCTAATAGTTCCTAAGATTCACAATGGCTTACTTCGTTTATTAAGCATCCAATGCTTATCTCAAGTTTATCCAAAGAGCACTTCAAGCACGATAAATCTCTTTCAGAAACCCACTTGTTTATCTCAAGTTCAGTGAACGATAAGATCAAATGTTCTATGCATACAAATGTTCATTCTCCATGAGATAATCCACCAGTTCCTTGACGGGTGACATTATAGTCTGCTCGTAGCCAGGCTGAAGCTTCATCACCCGCAACAGCAACCCACTGCGATCGGTGTTCAGATAATAGTCAAACTTCTCGGGCTCCTCGGATCTTAGACGATTTGAAATGCTGGACGACATCTTGGTCTGGGGCTCGGTGAGTGCCCAAATGATCAGAGCAGCGAGACGAGTGCGTTGGCATTCCTTTAGGAAATTTTCGCTCGAAATAAGTGCCCCATCCAAGCCCAGACGGATTAAGTGGGACTGCAGCGATATGTGGTAGTGGTCGAGGCACTCATCATAGATCTCCCGCCGCACATCAGCCGAGGCCACAATGTAGAGCAAAAAGAGGACATCGAGAGTGGGTGAACAGTATTTGGTTAGCTGAAAGTCCACAATGCAACAGGCACTGGGCAGAACGGATGATTCCGAACCAAACCGAAAGAAGATATTCCTATCCCAGGTATCCCGATGGCACAGCACATTCCTTATGGTCCGAGAGGGAGTCACCAGTTCCTCGGATTTGGTCAGCAGATTGTAGAGTTTATTGTGGATGAAACTCTGATGTTCCACCGTTTGATATTGGGGGTGTCTGGCAGCCAGGAAAACAATTGCCTAAGGAATGAGTTCACCAATAAATAAGCTATACAATTTTGATGTCCAGAATGCTCACTTTGAGTCCAGTCATGAACCAGGAGTTCTCCGTGCTCAAGTGCAGCTCAATCAGCACATCCTTGTAGAGCTCTCCAATGTTGAATTGTTCCTTTTCCTCCCAGGCTATGCCGGCGGCATGTACCTCTGCCAAATGTTCGAGTACCAGTTTGTAGTGCTCCAAAGTATAGATCTCTGTGGCCTTCAGATGTCGATATTCCTGCGTGAGATCGTCCAGTACTAAGATATCATTGCGACTGTAGAAGCAACGGGGAAAGAGTTTCTTTGTGGCTACACGAATCATATTTTTATAGTATTTTTTTTGCTTTAAATGTTTGTGCAATATTCTTACCATATTTTTGTACATTTGGTAGAATTTTTGTATATATTGCAGATTCCTTGCGGAAAACTCCTTTGCGCTCGCACTCGGCACGTTGTGGTTCATTTTTGCGCGGCAAACTCTTGATAAAATAATCCAGTTCATGTCTGTCTTTGTCTTTAATGTCCTCCACTATCAATCTCAATTTGTAGTACTCTCCCATATAACCCATGAGGTCATTGGAGCCCGCCTCCAGTTGGGAGTCTAGGAGTAAGATCTGCGATTTATCCTTATCCTTCAGCGTGCGCTGTGCTATGAGCAGACATTCTTCGGCACTGAGTAGATCCATGGGGTTCAGGTAATGTCTGTTTGGCTGCCAAAATTAGAATGAGTGCTACAAAATAATCTTCGTTTGTCTTTGGGAACGCATAAAATAATGAGATTGCCAGTGTTATCTATCACTTGTTTGGGTGTCTCTTTCTTTTCTGAATCGTATGTTTAGATAATACAACTTGGAGACTGCAGAAGGTTTGTTTCAACAGAAGGTAGAATAATTTATGAGACATCAAAGCATATTTAGATGCTGAAATGAAGCACACAAAAAGGCCATTTAAATAGCTTTAAACTCTATCCCGCATCAGTTTTCCATCCATGCCAAATCGAGTGACAAATGAATATGCCCCTGAAAGTAAGACAACCCATTACCAAGTACACTTTTTAGCGATAAGATAATCTCTCAAAGAGAGAGCGTTCAGCGCCAGCCAGCCCACTGATACGAACCCTAGTGTTACCAGGTGAACAGCAACCAGATAGTGAGACAAATTCACATTTAATCAGCTTTGTTTATGATATGTCAGTGCCAACAAATCGTCCACACACTCGTACATGTAATCGGCAAAGTCTCGATGTTCGTTCATCAACTGGAGCACAGCTGGTGTACGATCGACATTACAGAAGCGATGAAAGTCCGCCGGTCGCTGATCCTTGAGGCTCTTCAGATAGTTGTCGGGCAGTCGGAGTATGGTGGCTGCCATGCAGTTGTAGGTGGCCCCAAACAAGGCAAAATCCTTGAGAGATTGCTCAAACTCCTCGCGGCTCAGCTGCTCCTGTCTGGCATCGACGCCCATTGTCTGGAGCTCCTCCGCCAGAGTGTCGTAGTACAGATTTATCAAGCGATCAATCATTTGCTTACGATTGGCTGGCTCTAGATTGAGATAGCTAACCAAATGGAAGTCCATGGCAGGCGGGGCATAGCGACACAACTGAAAGTCCACCAGGATGGAGCGCTCCTCCAGCGGGCGCTCCTTGTGATAGAAGACATTGGCACCCCAGGCATCCCGATGAACGAAGACATTTCTGTGTACTGGCGAGGGGTTAACCATATAATAGACGCTATCCAAGCGGCGTGGCAGTTCCTTGGAGATGTACTCCTGGGCCCTGGCATCATTGCGGACATCGGGATGAGTGGCAGCTACCGCCAGCACGGCCTAGAGAAGAGGTTTAGGATATATTTGAGGAAGGAATATCTCTGCATTCGATGCTCACCTTTAGACCCGCGGTATACCATTCAACGTCAGGAGCGACGGACACTTCTTTGAGCCACTCCCGCAGCTGAACGCCGATCGTTTGTCCCCGCTCTCGCTCATAGGCCACACTACTGGCATGAAGGGTGGCCAGCGACTTTAAAATGGGACCCAGCTGCTCCTCGCTGAGGAAACGAGTGCCCGCTGGCAAGGAGACATATCCCATATCCTCGACATTCTGCATCACGAAAAGATCATCGCGGGTGAAGTAGCATTTGGTGCACCACACATGGGGAGCTGCAGAAAACTCCCAATGGATCATTTTTATATTTTCATGGACTGCGTAAACTTACAGAACTTTTTGAGCTCGTTGAGCAGCAGTTCATAGAGTTTAGTCTCCTTTTTGATGAGACCCATTTTCTCCATATAGAATTCCATGTTGGCATTTTGAAAGATCACCGACTTGACAAACAATCGTGTGGTCTGCTCCTCCTGCTCATCTGCCAGCTGATATTTGAGTTTCAAATGGAAATATTCGCCCAGGAAGCCAACACTTTCGGTGGCTGGCACTATTTCAAAGTGTTTTAGGACCCCATGCTGCTGCTTATCGGCCAATAAATTTACCAAAATCTCCTGACACTCTTCCAGCGTAAACAGTTCCAAGCGATTTTGTCGCGTGAGCACCGGTTTGTAGTCATCGTTACTCATACTCAGGCGATTGTTACGCGATTATATAGATCGGTAATGGACTGCACGGGTTTTGGACTCAAACTGATTTCATTTCGATTGTGTTGCAGAGTTTATATTGAAGAAAATACTCTATAAGGAGGGGGTATATAACGTATCATAGGCTACACAATTGCACTGCGCTAAGCTAGCTTTAATTCCTATTTTGTTAGAGTACTTTCCCTCTCGATCATGGCATTTTCTTCACAATCATTTCTTATCGTCACAGGCTGCACAGCCCATCGAACTCTTGCTTATCGGACTCTCTCTCTCTCTCTCTCTCTCACATAATTGCCCTATCGATGGCCATGTTCATGACATCCACACAGCACTCCTCCATGTAGGTCCTGAACCCTTGATTGGTTTTCATGTAATCCAAGATCACTCCACTGCGATCCACATACTTAAACTCATTGGTCACGAAGGCGGCTGGCACCTTGACTATGGTGGCAGCCACAGCGCGATAAACAATCCCAAATAAACGAAACTCTTCAAAGGATTCCAGGAGCTCCGCTTTGGTCAACAGTTGCTCTGCCTTGAGGCCAAACTCTGTGAGATTCTCCACCAAATAATTGTAGTACACATCGATGCAGCTCTTCTCCATTTCCCTGCGATACGCTGATGTGAGATTCATGTACAAACAATAGCTAAGATCTTGGGCAGGTGGAGTGTAACGACATGTCTGAAAGTCTACAAGAAGAGCTGCCCCAGAGTCCTCTTCGCTCGGATAGAAGGTATTGCCTATCCACAGATCGCGATGGCAGAGCACATTCCTGTACTTGATTGAGGGTTCCGCCTGCTCGTAAATCCCCTCCATGATAGCCAGCAGTTGGTTGTCAATGAAATGTAGTTCTTTGGCTCCCTGATACTGGGGTAGACTTCGCACGGCAGCCAGCACAGCGGAGAGACCGGTGGTAAACCAGGCTATCTCCGAGGCCACTGTCACCTCCAGCAATTGATCGCCATAGGCGACACCAATGTTCACTTCCGTCTGATGCTCGTAGATCAAGCTGGCGGCGTGGAAGGCTGCCACCGAACGCATCAGCTGCTGCAGGTGATTCTCGTTGAGTTGCGAGGCATCCACTGCCCGATATCCTTTTAGTTTGATGTCCTCGAGCACCAGTAGATCGGGTCGAGTGTAGTAACAAAAGGGACTCCACTTGACTTTGGCTAAGGGGAAGACTACTTATAGTTCGTTGTTTTAAACTTGGCATTTGATTTACTCACTGTAATTTTGCATTTTGGGCAGCATTGTCTCATAGAACCATGCCTCCTTTCGAAAAATAGCCTCCTTGGCCACTTCAGCGCTTTGTTGAGGCAGGGTTTTGATGAAAAGCTGCTTTTTGTGGATGATATCCTCTCGTTCAGCCTGCAATAAGTATACATTTGGCTTTATAATGGATTTGCCTGCTGCTTACGATAGCAGATCGATAAAAAGTGAACTAAGAAAGCAGCGAGCTTTTGAATGGATGCTTTTTTCTAGCTTTAGTACATGAAATGGCCGCTGATGCCAGTGGAGCGCCAAAACAGACATACGCCCAAAGGTATACCATGAAATGTAAATATGAATTACACAGGCATGTATCATGTATGAAGCTTACGTGTACAATGCACCAGTTTTGTCTACATGAAAGTTTCTTTAAAGATGAATGACAATTTTGGCTAATGTTTCCTGTGTATCTAGGGCACATTAGTCCTAGTGCTGAAAGATCTATGTTGTCGTTTACGCTATGCCTAACAATACCTAGCAGATTTTGGCAGAAGAATAAAATATTAAATTGGACTGTGGCCATACAAATCATAGCCAACATACTCTAAAGAATTAAGATTAAGCCTATATATCCAAAATTTTTTAGTTCAAAGTTGGAGCTTTCTTAATAGTTTCACAATTAATTACTAGACGACTATCATTTAATGGACACAAACTTTGTAGTGTTTTGCACTGACTGCCAAGGCAATGGCCAAGATATGGATACTCACGTTGCAGCAGCTTATAGTCAGTGCATAGTAATCACCCAGATAACCGATTGCAGTGTCATCTCGAACCACTTGATAGGCCAACAGCTTGCTCTTGCCATTTGTCAGATTCTCCAAAATTTTCACACATTCGTGGCGGCTGAGCAGCATATTGCGTATACGCAAGGCCGTCTTACGTATACGTTGGATCTTTCTCTCTCTTTGGCTCTCTCACCCTCTCTTTGTGTGGCGTTCGCTGGCGTTTTGACAGAGCACACTTTTCCGAGAATTTTCACTCAGCAGAATACAGCAGACACTGCCGATCGGAAGCAACTGAGCGAAAATAGAATTCTACTCAGTTTTTATTTTCTTTTGGCTAGCATTTTGAATGCACAAATGTTGGTGGTGCATTGTGTACGATTTAGATTAGATTTGTATGATTAGATATAGGCCAGTGGGTGTGTTTGCTGCTGCACTGGGGGGCAATTAGAAGAAATTAGAGATACATTCAAAAAAAAAGCGCATGTGGAAAGCAAATATAAATCCAAATATAATCAAACTGAGCTATCTATATCTTTTTTTATCTCAAGCAATGCTCAAAATCAGTGCAAATAATAAACTTTCTTAGTCAACAGCCAGGCGCTTCAAACGTGAATCCAAGAAGCTCGAATAAGGACGAATTGTCATGTAGTAGAATATCTCCACGAAGCTAAGCAAACTGGCACCCACAAATAGACCCGTAGTGCCTCCAATGGACACTAGAATAAATTCACATTTATCAAAGAAAAACCTATGAAGTTCTCTGATGATCCCACTCACCCACCAAATCCAGTTTGCCACGCACCAAATTCCTCTTGTAACGCTCCGTGGGCAGCTCTATGAGACCCACCTCAATGCGGGAGACGGGATTCTGCTGCCCCACCATATTGTCCTTGCTGTCAAAAACTGTAGTTATGTCCACCTCCGTGCAGGAGGGCAGACAATCGCAGACCAGACCCTTGCGACCGCGACGCTTTGACCACTTGGCAATGATCACCGAAAGATCCTCATAATTTCTGTTAAGGCACTCCAGACCATCCATATTGCAGAGCTGCCAGTCGGGAGAGTTGGGAGACAGATGACTAGAGCAGTTGCACAACTCCATCTGGCGATCCTTGCGACACTGAACCGTGCAGGCACTGTAGCTGTAATAATTGTGGACACTGAGGATGTTCTCATCGGCAAATCGACAATTACGCTGATGGACGCTCGTCTGACGGATTTCCTCATCGTTTTCAATGTCACGCTTCGAGATGTAGCGTCTGGAAGATTAGATTTTGGTATGAACTAATATGTAGGAACCGCAAGGGTTGCTTACATGAAAGATATATAGGGACCCACGACTAGAAAATCCGTTTTGGGTGTCACCAAAGTGGGAACTTCCTCGGTGCCCAATATGAAGACCTGCTCAAAGAGAAGGAAGGAACCTTTAACCATTGATTCAGTCGACTTTTAGGCACATCTGTTGAAATGGTCGTCTTCAACTCTTTAGTCATAATATATTAATCTTTATGATCCAAGTGCTATGAACTTTTCTTTGGTCAGAAAGATTATAGAACTCACAGTAGCCTCCGTATGCAATTCCATTGTGAGTGTTCCGGGTCCAGTATAACGATTCGAATACATATTCAGCTTGGGGCCTTTATTCTTGCTGTAATGAAACATCTTTTGTGAGAAAATCACTCTCCATATAAAGATATTTATGGGTTTCGCACCCTGCCTGCAAGGAGTTGATGGCATAGCATATGCCCAGCTCTGTTTCCATGCGATGAAAGTACTTGCAGCACTCAAAGGGCTTGTTGTTCCACTCGCAATTGCTGATGGAGTCCACACAGCTGCTTCGCACCAGCTCCGCGTAGTAGGAGAAATTCGAGTAGAAGCAAGAGGCAGTGGACTCCTCGCCACTGCACTCGTGCACCGTGTGATAAGACTCGCCGCGGAAGAAGGCAATCTCGCTGAGAACCTCCTCCAAGGTAAAGTCATGATCCGCTCCCCAGAGTCTGAAAGGAATCCGTTTTAGGCACTCCTCTGAGCGTTATTTTACTTACTGTTCAGCCACTTCCTGTATACGATCCATATTCTTCGACTCACACACTATGATGGCTGGAAAATTGGTGTTCCAATCGCGATACGAACTCTCCACCACAAAGCTAATGGCATTATTCTCAAAGGCACCTGAAAGGTGTCTCCATAGTAAACCATTAAACATCTTATCTGTGTCGCATGCGACGACTCACTCAGCGAGGCTTTGATAAGCAACCAGGAGGCATACCAGGAGACTACCAGACAAATGACCCAGAAAATTCGCTCCAACCAACTGGCATCTTTGTCCACTATGAATCTGGCGCCATGTAGCGTAGAATTCGATAAATATTCCTCTATAGTTCGACTGAATCTCATGGTGGTACTCTGCTCTATGAACTCTAATCCGTAAGTGATTGTAACTGAACCTGCAACCGAACCGGAAACCCCTGTTGTTACACTTGCTAATGACTCCCCATTATTCATTCGATTTATCAATCTCGATTAGAGTTATGTTTGTGTCAGCTGTTCATTTTCCCAGCTTCGGTCACACGCACATTTATCCAAAGATTACAGTTTCGGCCAGCTCTTTGGAGTGGCACAAATTTGTTTGCCTCACATCAACAATGGCTTAACTCGTTGTAGTTTACTTGATAAGCACACGCTCCCATGGGGTTTATAGAGTCTGTCTACTACATAATAAATCCAGTCCGAATTTTAAACAATTAGTTGCCAACAGGCTAGCGCCAGTGAGTGTTTTGTGTGTAAATGTTTTAATCTCTTATCTACACTTGGATGCAAAAATGTAGAAATGACTGAAAGTTGAAATTAATAAATATTAATTCTTGTCATTTATTCACAAATAAACTGTCCTATTAAATGGCCTTCTTGGTAGAAAAGTTCATGGGTTTTCGCCAGGAAATACTTCCATTTGTTTCATCAGCATTATAAGATGTTTGGCTCGTATGACTGAACACACCGCCAGGGTGTGGTCC